TCCTCCATGGCACCTGATCCAACCTCTGATGTTTCGGAGGTCTGTGTTTGCTCTGCTCCTAATTTGTATTGTTTTATAGACTTTGAGGTTGAATACTGTTCCTTATCTCAATATACTTCTTGCAATTGAAATATCCCTATCCTATCGCTTGACCGATATGCACAAATTCAATCAATAGCGAAAAATTATGTGTGAAACACTCCCCTTATACGTCCGTAGGCAAAGTTAGAATTTATGAATCGTGTTTATATTGGACTGGTACACGTGATAAACAATGACAAATTGAAGATATTCTGTATGAATCTACAAGAGAAGTATGGCCTCTAACTGAATTACGCTTGGGGATTGTGTGTATTTTATCCATTTTTGTATAAATCGCGATAAAAAATGAAAAATACCCCTTTTTATGTTGGTAAGTTTAATTTGTCGCAGAATAGTTTCTTAACGAGTGAAAATTAAACCTGCCCCCAACACTTTCTATGTCCCAGAGATTACGATGAATTGATCTATTTAACAAACTTTGCACAATATTTTTGTTTTGCACTTGTGCCGAAGCTATTTTTGTGCAACAATTAGGAATATCACAAATCTACGTCACGTGATCAACACATGTACAGTCATGTGACATCCCAAAAATGCTTTAAAATAAAACCTGATTAAAATATTATCTCAAGTTGAATGCAATTACGAACAAGGATAACATATTAAAGTTAAAATCTAGCTCAAAATAAGATATACATTTCTTTGGCATCTTCAGCCTTCGGACAGACTTATCATAACTGCGTGCACTTTTTTCTAAAAGTCTTGCGGATATTGAGCTGAATTTTGGTATGGTACTTACAAACCGTGTAAGATTTTTTTTTATTAGGATTTGTTTATTTTTGGGGAAATGCCATCTTTTATATCTTTATGGGTGTCTGTTTTTTTAATCTTATAGCCTGCAGATATTGAGCTGATGATTGCTACGTGTGTCTACTTTGATGAGTTTTAGAAAGAGCTATCCCACTCACAACCAGTGGATAAGCATATATTAGATGACACTGGCATCATTTTTCACTTGACTAAAATAACTTCGTGTAAACGTGCATTTAGTACGATAACTTAACTTCCTCTTTGGAAAATCAGTTTCCTTAAAAAAATGCTTTTAATTATGAAAAAGAAGATAACGTTTTTTTTTTCACATGGACCTATTTCCTTAAACCTATTTGAGTTTTTGAGTGAAAATATTCCATTCAACATAAAAATTCAAGGTTGTTTTAATTTTTACTTCTACCTTTTTTTTTATTTTATGGAGCTATAATTTGTGCCTTGTATTGATAATATTTTTCAGGAAAATATAACAGGATACATTTTATGTCCATCCTGTTCATATAATTTAGATTTTATATAAGATTTCTCGGAAGAATCTCGGATTCTAGAAAGAAACCAGAGTATAAACAGCGGTGAGTAGTAATTGATTTGGAAAAATTAAAAACATATTCAGTCAGAGTAAATTCAATTCCAATACTTAATTACTAAATTGATAAATTTCGTCTGTATTTTATCGGGAAACGTTAAAATGCCTTGCTCCGAAATATAATATAATAAAAATGATAGAGAAATTAAAAAAACAATTTGACAGTAAAATTCTTTTCATCAATTATATTAATTTGAATTAATGTAAATCTTTATTAGATTAGGAAAAAAAACTAGTTCGTTAACACTTTAAAAATTGTCATGAGGTAATATCCTATAATGCTAAAATCCTATAATGCTAAAATCCTAAAAGGGAAACTCTTCTGAACGATATAATTATGTCACATATATATATATATATATATATATATATATATATATATATATATATATATATATATATATATATATATATATATATATATATATATATATATATATATATATATATATATAGATTTCCAACAATCAAAATGAATTTGAATTACCATACCTATACTGAACTTCTACATGCTCTAAACTCAATTTATTCTTTTCAAACAAAGATGAATAGCGGGTTCCAGTAAACGTTTCCCCTACTGAATTTAGTCTTTTTCTTTACTTCTCACTAAAATGTGTACAGCAGTGAAAGAGAAACTTCATGACTACTTTACAACAGTATTTGCGAGAATACGCGTGAATTAGATATGGTTGTAAAAAAAGTCCCAGAAACTTAATTTGAAATCACATTTGTTTTAACAAAAATCAATAACATCAAAACGTACGACTTTTCAAAACTTTAAACAACAATTGCCCTCAATGTATTGAAGTCCAGGGTCTTCGATCTATAGGCAGCTGCTTTTTCCATAGGAATAGACCTCGTAAATATATTTATCTTGTAATTGTTCATTAAATTTTGCAAAATCCACTTTGTTAAAAACATTGATTTCTAATTGTACAAACAAATACTTTGAAGTTGATATTAAATAGATTCTAATTGATAAAATCTATGTTGTTTTTGGCAAACGTGCCTTACATGTACAACAATCTGCTGGAAATTCCCTTAGATACCAAGTGCTCCATGTTATTAGGAGTCCTATTTATGTGTTCATATAAAGCAGAATTTAGTCGTAAACTTCTCTTCTAAGAAAAAAGAAAAAAAAATCATTTGCTGTGGCCTTCAACTCGACCTTTCATTATAAATATAGAAGAAATATTACCAATTAAGAATATTTACTTCCCTTTACATTTCGATTCGATATATCTCGGCGAGTTTAAGATATAAGGAACCACAGAGTCTGATACATCTGTTTCTTATTTGGACATTTTACAAAAAAACCGTAACAGTTATCTAACAAAAAAACTGACGTCAACTTTTCAACTTCCCTTACTTATGTTGCAATAAACCTTTATTACCTGCATGTGGGTTTATGTCTCTCTAATGTCTCTCAGTTGAATTGACCCGCAAGAGTATGTACGAGGGTTGATCCAAAAGTAATGTCACAGTGTCCATATCTTTTATATTTGGCGTCATATTATCAAATACAATATACCAAAAAATACACAAATTTAAATCTAATTAACATTAAAATTTTAAATTTAATATTGTTTATTTGAATGTATTTTACAGATGTTTAAAACATAGAGCATAGGGGGTGTCGCCGCGTCACAACGGAACGTCACGTTTTAAAGTGCATTTTTTAGAATGAAAAAGACAAACACATTAAAAAGATTCTAAACAGCACCCAATCTGCCAATTTTTTAAAGACACAATTTTCGTCATATTTTAGTCTTTAATTGAAAATTAAATGACGGCATTGGAATTTGTTATCATAAACATTGTAGTTTTACTCTGAAGAATTGAACAAAGGGATGTCAAAATGGAAAAAAAAAACGGCTCCACGAGTTGTAATGCATTTGTTGTTTCAAAACATGGGAATCATCACAAGCGGCAGTAACGTTAATAAATCAGTCTTACAGAATAATGAATCTAAATATGAGATATCTTAATAGATGGTTTCATGAATTTTGGGCGGGTGATTGGTCACTGAATGATCAGCAGAGGACAAAAAGACCGAAAGATAGGATATCAGACGGAAACGTTAAATGATGTCTGTCGTCAAAAAAACACAGACGTATAGAGTGACATGCATATGTGATTTTCTAAGTTTGTCTTTGCTATTGTTAAAAAAATTTTGACAGAGGGCTTAATTATGAAACGAGTGAGTGTATAATACATGTAGTACCAAGAACTCTTAAAGAAAATGGAATTGGTGAAAGTGTTTGCGAATCACAAATAATTTTTTAATTAAACGAAAGGGAAATGCTTAAAAGTATGACGGTGCGTGTCCGTCATATGACGTTATATTTAGGTGCGGCGACTACCATAAACACACATTGTTTAAAATCCGATATTTTGGAAAGTATACATCATATTCCTATGAATTTTTCAGGTCTGATTTGATATAAATGAAGCTTCCATCATGTATAATATTGTTGCTTTACGTAGATTTATAGCAATTTTATCAAAGTTGTGACATTACTTTTGGATCAACTCTCGTACAACGCTCGATTTTTTTTTTTTACGGCGATCTGTTCAGCAAATACAACCATTGTTGAGTCAAAGACTGACTAACATTTTTCATACTAAATGTTAGGCCACTGAATTTTCTATCGAAAGTTTCCCCTGCCCGAGCATGACAAAGAGCAGACGGCGGTATGACCGATCGGCAAAGGATGATCACTTCTCCATGACACGTGATCCAACCTCTGATGTATTTAGAAATCTGTGTTTGCTCTGCTCCAACTTTGTTTTGTGGACATTTTCATCATCCAGGCTAATTTATGTCTTTTAAGTTCAAAGTGTTCCGGAAACATTTTAAGTTTATCATATTCAATGAAGATATTTGTAAGTTCAAAAAGTACAAAACTTGCTTGTCAGTCCTTATAATGCCTGTAATCATCAATCAACTTGCACTGAATGGTAAAAAAATGATGATTTAAAATCCTAGGAAGGCATAAAAAAAATCAATGTTTCGATAATACACTTACACTGTATATATTGAATTGAATACTTGAACAAATTCTCTAGCTTTTGGTCAAACATGACGAATATTAAAAATGTATAAATTTAATTTGAGATTTTTATGCATGGGTTAAGGCAATGACAAATATTTTACATTTAGAAGTTGTAAAGACATGACTAATAGCCCAGTATTACATATAATCGTATGTGGGAAGTAACACACTGGCAGCTAATGTAATACGATTTTTTTCGATCCCTATTTACTGAAAGATAAATATTCTGGCAGATAATCTATTTTCTCTTCTCTACGTAATATTTGATTACTTTTAAATATTATTCCCTGTTCGCGTTTCTACGGAAAACCCCTTTCTCCGTTTTACATGTATCTGAGTGAATCATAAAACTTCTGGTTGTAAGAGGGAAGTTATACTTGATAGTAAAGGTGGTAAAACTTTTCGTAGAACTATTATAAAATCAAATTTTTACCCTATCATTCCAACGACATTTATTAGACACCATTTCATTTTCTTACTAAATGATTATTTCTTTTAGAATTTGAGAAAAAAGATCATATTATGTTTCCAAGTCATCGTTTATTGAAGAAGCAAGCATTGATTGTGTTAAGCCTAACAGGTTGTAATCGTTTTTTTTTCTCTTTTTTTTTCTCTTGCTCTATTACTCATCAAGCAAACCAAAAGCAATGTATAAATGAATGTTTATTTTCTTCTGTACATCATCATTTTTTTTTCCAAATATTTTAAGAGGTTCAAAATTGTTGGAAAAAATATGATTCGAAAAGAATATATCACTAAACAAGGCTCGGAAAAAATTCCCAAAATACATCAATGCTTCTAATCGAGAGGGTTGACAAAGAAAATGACATGGAAAGGCCTCTCAATTCATATCTTTGAAAAAATATCAAAAGTTAATGCATGAAAGTTTAATTTTATACCTATATAATCACAGATTTGCATGAATTCTTAAATTTTGTACATGTATTATCGTTTTTCAAGTCACTTATCTTGAATTATTTCTAGTTATTTTACATGGCGGCAATGGCTTTTCATGGTTTAGAGCACAGAAGGAATGCAAGGCTAGTGGAGAGCAGATCAGAACGGCCCCCAGGTCCAACAATTTTTACTGGACAACATACCATAAACGTCGCTATCAATGGATTGGTACTTTAGGTAATAACAATCTTGTAATAATCAAGCAGATGAACTGCATTTCTACAGAAAGGAATAGTCATATCTTCCCTTCTTTTTGTGCTGTGATTTGGTAAACAATAGTATTTTTCATTTATTTAATTACGAAAAGGAATATTTTATGTACTGTGCACCACTTGTTTTATCAAAATGTACATGTATTTTTATTCATTTTTAAAGAAGTATTATTTTATTTCAATTTAATAGCATCTTTCTGCTATCATGCTCATTGCGAATATATATTGCTTACTATAGTGGCTAATAGGGAACGTTAATGGTTGTACGAGGGGTGATCAAAATGTTCAGGAACTGAGATATCTTTTATAAAAATGATTTTAAGTCTCAATTTTATACATTTAAATCTACAGAATGTTGTTTTCTTTATTTCTAAAAAAAGCCATTGCCGCTTATCAATCAATAAACACAGTGACTGCTGATTAGCATACACTTGTTTCACCTCTAAATATTCTTGAGCAGTTGCTCTTCCAAACATTAAACGGAAAATGAAATTAATATCAATGATACCATTTGATTTCAATTTCACAAATGAAATTTAAAACCTTTTTCTTTGGCCAGATCAAAATTAATAATGTTATCAAATCTTTAAAAATTTTAGAATGTTATTCACATCAGGATCTATCTCATATGATAATGAGAAACTTGACCCTGAATATTCCATCAGCGGGACTATGTCAAGAAAGATGTACCGAGGAAATGCTAAACGACTCGTTTTTGTTTGCTCTTAAGGTACACAAGGATTGTTTACTTTTTTTATTTTGAAATATATGATACATTCCACTAAATATTTGAAAATATGAAAGAACGAACACTGGCTAAAAGAAAATTCTATTGAATCAATCATCAATCATATAAACTCAAATTCATCGCTTGAGGGAATAAATAAACTTGATTTTTTTGGCTTTCCTCAAAGTCAATTTTAAGTTCACATGGTCATTGTGCCCGTTGTCCGTTTAATCTCATAGAATTAGCATTTTTAAGTTGGAAAATGCGGAATAAATGAAAAGAAAGTACGTATTATTCATATATACATGACCTTTATGGTGAATATATTTTTTCCTCTTCATTGGTTTAAAAAAGATAATGAAATTAAAAATTGATAAGAACAACTCTGCGATTCATGTAAATATAACATCAAAGAATGAATGTAAAGTTTAGAGTGATGTGGCTTTGGGGTCGGGTCCAGGTGAACTACAACCACTAAAGACGTTTTTCTGATCGTAAATTTTTACTTTTAATTTTGACTTTTAAAAAATTATAGGCTTTCCCCCATAAAATGATCTTACTCCCCAACTGCTTATCCAAACAATCTTTTTAATATATTTCTATTTTAGAAAAATTTCTTATCGGGGGGGGGGGGGGGGGGGGGGGGGGGGGCTATTCAGAGCTTTTTTTTCAACTGTGGCTTTTCCGTTTCAAAATTCATGTTTCAAAAGTTTGCTTGAATTCCATCTCAATTGAAATAGATTTTTCAATTCCAAATACCTGCACACGGTAAACGTGACACTGATTATGTATAACTAACCCCGATTCTTGCATTGCGTTTAGCTATGATTTCAGAACACGTAAACATGTAAGATGAAAAGAACTGAGTTTGTATTATTTAATCATTGAATTAATTATATAAAAAAAATTATTGCGTGTGGAGGGGGGGGGGGGGAGGTTAATTGTCAATTATACGATAACTCAGATTCAAAACAATACTTCCTGAGGAAATAGCATTGTTCGTGGGTTTCCAAAATCGTGGATCATTGATCCTCGCAAATTCAAATGATTTCATTGTGCCTCGTCTTTTTGGCTAAGTGAAAATTTTACTCAAGTTGCTACTTTACCGGAGTGACCTGAAAAAACACAATTATTGTATATCTCCCTTGCGTATGCAATATGTTAGTACTATTTTAGCATAGTCTTAATTGTGTAAAATAAAACTCTAAAATAGTATTTGTATTTCACAAGCAATCATCATGCCTGTGTCTAAACAAATCTCTAGAGAAACCATCTCACTCATCTCAGCATAGTTGTAAATATAACTGCTTGCAAGATAACATAACAAGGCCTGATTTATTCTGTGGAGGAGAATCTGTTTACAGCCTGTTTATATCTTGTAAGTATTTACACACACAAGAAGAAAAGAAATACCTCTAATTGTTTGACCCCGAGCAAAATGTGTGATATAATAATAGTTATTGTTCTGTTTCCTGTTTTTCTTTAAAGCCGCTTGGTCCGATTCTAATCGCTAAAAATTATATTCGTTTTTCTTCTTGAAAAAATAATTGTCCATAAATTGTTTCACTTTTTGTCAAATTATATCCCCAAAGTCTTTCTCTTTTAAAAGATATCAAAAATCAAAAGTAAAAAAATAATTTTTGTTAGGTCACACAAAAAATAATCCTATGTTGATATCGCGTGAAATCACCTTCGAAAAATTAAATTTGTCGCTTACATATATATCTCATGAAGAACGAACCCGAACATTTTTTTCACAACAAAGTACTTATACCTGTACACGGACAATATTTTAGCCTTCGTAACTAAACAACCTTTTAAAAAAAAAATATTTGATTTTCCTTTATTCTTTAAATAAATACTGTATGCATATTTATATAAAAATTACTATGAATTATATTCAATGACTTAGGCTTCTACTAATGGAACAAAATAGTCGGGTTTGAATTATCTTCATAATTAGATAAAACTGATAAATTTATTTTTTCAAAGGTGACTTCACAACAGATCTTAACTTCCTGTCAGGAACTTCTGTTTGTCAATAAGGTTTTCGATCTATGTTTTCCATGTAAGGATGTTGTAATAAACTACTAAATTAATCTTATAATTTATTTTTATATCTTATCTATGTAATGACGTATTGTGTAAGATAATATGTGCCTGTTTCGGATTAAGCGGCTTAATAAATTAACTATACTGTTAACAGTTAACTATTGTAAAGTTTAGAGATCATCGGATGCATTTCTTTTAAAATTCTAAATGAGAATATTTACATTCAGTGTGATTTTCCTCATGAAATTCATTAGAAATCCACGACGTTCAAATTACTATAACACACGCAAAACCTTGTCACCGCGCGTTAGAATACATAGTAGGAACTATATGCAATTTTCAATACTCTAGGAACACCAAAATGTAAAATATTTTACTTCAATTTAATGGAAAACTATAACCCTGAAAAAATAACGTAAAAATTAACATTACGTGCGTTAAGAATTAATTTGTCACTTTTTTCTTCGCAATGTTTGTTTGCGTAAGTTAACTTTGCAACGTCATTTAACGTCATTTGACGTCACAAACGGCTCTTACATCTATTAACCAAGGCAGTTTTGAAAGGCGCTAAATTCACATTAAAGATTAACGAAATAAGCAATTATGAAGAACAAAAATTAGAGAATGTAAATATAAGCATTGAATTCATATTTTTGGATGTCTTCGGTCCTATAACACACCTGGCCGTGCCGAGAAATTATCATACCGCGCTAACGCGCGGTATTCAATTTGTCGGCACGGCCAGGTGTGTTATAGGACCGAAGACATCCAAAAATATGAATTCAATGCTTAAATAATGTATTTGTGTATGATTTACAAATTATTTAACTCGCTATTAATGGAAAATAACATGAAAATAATTACAAAACATAATGGATAGTTTTGTTTTTAAAAAATGGAAAATTTATAAAACAGAAAAAGAAGACATTTTTAAAGGGATTTTTTTTTTTCATTTACAATTACTAGGACAACTAAAAAAGGTTACTGATAATTTTTGATGCATCGATATAGCAAATGTCTGCAGATGAAAATATACATTAGAATAAATAAAATAAGTCATGCAAAAGCATTCCTGTTTATTCATATCTGATTCAAGTTACAATTTTCTTTGACATAAGTTATATGTTAATGAAATTCTGATAATTCTTCAGTGAGACAGGGAAAAACATTTGAATAAAGTCTTTCAGAATTTCATTAACATATAACTTATGTCAAAGAAAATTGTAACTTGAATCAGATATGAATAAACAGGAATGCTTTTGCATGACTTATTTTATTCATTCTAATGTATATTTTCATCTGCAGACATTTGCTATATCGATGCATCAAAAATTATCAGTAACCTTTTTTAGTTGTCCTAGTAATTGTAAATGAAAAAAAAAATCCCTTTAAAAATGTCTTCTTTTTCTGTTTTATAAATTTTCCATTTTTTTAAAAAAAACTATCCATTATGTTTTGTAATTATTTTCATGTTATTTTCAAAAGTACATACGATCTGTTTGATATAGTTGAAAGTCAAAAGAACAAAATAAAACCTGTGCCAAATTTTGATTCCATTTCAATGGAATGCAACACCACTAAGCTGTATGAATTTAAACGCTGTAGCAGAAACCAGCTAAAAGAAAAAAAGTGAGTGTTTTAGTATAAATGTTCAGTAAAGGTACATGTGTAAGTCTATTCAATTTTGTTAAATGTATTAAGTTTTTCATAAATACATGTAACTCTGTGTAGTGGATATACAAAAAATTCAAGTTATTCTGTCTAATATTTGTTTTATATTAATGCAATTAGTATTCGGACAGCCCAAATACCCATCAATTTTTTTACTTCTTTTCATAATCCTCTAAACACTAAACCACCTTATCTTCTCCTCCTTCAATGATTAAAGTCTGTAAAACAGTTTGTCATGTGTTACCTCTTTTGTGACACTTAATAATTTGTTTGAAATGCTTAAAATTATTATTAATAATGACATACACAATTTTAGCAGACACAAAATATAAAGATAAAAAAATAAGAAATAAACAACTATTGTAAGGTGAGATAATACAAATTTTCAGTAATATCAACTTAGACTTAACCGGAAAATCAAAGGATGATACATATTGATTACAATCAAAAATAAAGTAAAATTAAATTGAAAAATAATAATATTATACATTCTAAAATAAAAAGTAATGGGTTGTTCTATATTTACGAGGGCTATCTGGAAATTATTGAGACAATTACATTTCTCCATAAAGTTTGGAGATAATTTCATGAAAATTCATCAACGTTTAATAAAGAACGAATAAAACAATTATGCAAAATTTCTAATTCATATTATGATTAGATACGTTTTCGTGGAATAATAAACATGCATAAAATTATGTCTATCGACCGGAGCAGCATCGCTACGTCAGTTTAACGTCACTTCAACCGGTGTAACGTTCAATTTTGATCCGGGTTGAAAATTGAGGGGTCATTTTTCAACGTTGAATACTAAGACGAAAGGTATTGAATTTAGACACTAGTCCGTTGAAAACTGAGCCGGGTCGTGGAATTTTGATCATGAAACCGGTTCTAAATTCAACAGCATAAATATACATATTTATGAATTGGTTTTCAAAACTGTGATTTAATCCATATGCGTCGGGAACAGGTTGGGGGGGGGGGGGGCAAGGGATGCTTACCCCCCACTTCTGCAAAGATAAACATAATATAGGCATTGAACAAAGTGAAACTGGTTTAGCCCCCGCCCAGTCCCCCCTTTCAAAAGGCACGTTACATTGTAGTCAAAGAAAGAAAAAGTCAAACTAGTTTGGACAATGGACAAATTTTCTTTTTTTTTTTTTGTCAGTTTTTTTTATTTGATTTTTTTTTCAAATACCCCTCCCCCACCCACAAACTTTCAATTTGCTTCCGATACCAATCTAATCAATACACACTTCAGTAATTCAGTTGTATTCCTAGAATGAAATCTAAACAAAAATATCTTAGATTTCCTTTTCCAAATCATGTCATTCTTGTTCGAAAAAACATGATTCCTATTCGATTAGTTGTTATTCTTGTGGGGGTAGGGGATTCTGATTCGAAACCAACTTTTTGCAATACCAACTTCTTTCAGTACCAATGTTTTTGCTCAAAATATTACAATGCCCTTATTTAAGATTACAGTAGCAAAAAAGTTGGGTGGCCAACCAACCCTTCAAAAGTAAAAGTTATGTCTGGAAAAAAGTGTGTGTGTGGGGGGGGGGGGGGGAGGGGCTGTTGCTATGTGCCTTGGATTTTAGGAAGTATTGTCAAAAACTAAAGTTGTCATGCTTGAAGATAACTGAAATCTTGTACTGATCAAAGTGTACATGTACGAGGGTTGTCCCAAAATTCCACAGAAAAGCGTTGTTTTGTAGGAACCCTATGTTATACATTAATGAAACTTCGTACATAGATTATACCAACACTATCTAATAAATTTATGGACAAATATGTATTTGCTACACAAATCATTCCAATTTAAAAGTCACATTTCATAATCTGGTGTAGGAAGGCGGCGCAATACCTAAAATTGCAATTAAAATCTGGTACTTAGTATATTATATTTAAAATCCTACGGAACAGTAATTACTACCCTGTATTTTTTAAATGGCAATAATAATTCTTATTACTGTTTTTTTTTAACTATATTTCCTCAATTTTGGTTTTTATGCCTTGAAAAATTTGAATTTTATAACGTTTTATATACACGGTGGTGAAATCCGACTTTTTGAAAAATGACGGCTGCGTTGGCACAGGCGGCGCAGGGACTATGATCAAGTGTTTTGATCCTAAATTCACTCTTACAAAAATGTACCAGTCATAAATGTTTGGTAGACTAGGACACTTTTTATCGTCCTTAGTATGACTAAAACGGTTTCTCTATGTATATGTGAATAAAAGTAACTAAAATAAAAGACAGGGCTAAGGATTGGGCAAGAGTTACACTGTGCAACTCCATTAGAGAAAACAGACGAAAAGTCGTAGAAATATAGCGTTTTCAAATTATCATTATTTCATACCTGTACATGCATTTACTTTGTACATATTTTAATGTTTGATCATATCATAGTGATTAAGATATTTCACATTTATACGCACTACTGTTTAGTTTGATTTGAGAATTTGATTCTGGTAATTGAAATATTTTCTCCAAAAAATTGAAGCGTTAACATTTGTATTTTTTGACCTTGCAGATTGCTCCGGGTGTTAGAGAACGATATCGCTTCAAATGTTATTACTTGAAAAGTTTTTTAAGTAAACATGAAAAAACTTCGTTATTTATCTGCAAAAACACGCTTTATCACCCTGAAAATTTTATATAAAGATGCATTGATTTCTTTAAAAGATATGAGATCAGTCTACGAAATTTTGGGACAAACCTTGTATACCCAGGATGATAGGTTTATTTCTATTCTTGAAAAGGAAAAAAAATATTTCAACCGAAATATAAATATAAAGATACTAATAAACCCCGTAAAACAACTTACCAGTCAAAAAAATGTTCAAACTCTGAGGTGGGGTCAATATTCAACAGGGTCAATTTTCAACTTGTTGAGGTCATCAGGGATATGAAAAATAATTATTAAGCTGTTGAAAAATGACCCCGGGTAGAAATTCAACGACTTTTGGTCTCAATTTTCAACGGAGAAAAAACACCCGAGGTTCAATATTCAACGTTGAAAAATGAACCTCGGGTCAATTTTCAACTTGGGTCAATATTCAACGTTACACCGGTGATGTTTATGCATGTGAAACGATCGGGAAACGTTTAATACTCTTCCTTCTTTCTTATTACATACAACATTTACAAAAATCAAGCAATGTCTCTTCTAAAATTATATCCTTTTAAATTATTATATTGTAAATTGCTGTTGCTACTCCAGTGAAAAATTTTCATTCGAAGGAAAGAATGACTTAGAATCATGCAGTGCCGATTTATGCATAATGTAAATGTTCATTCATTATAGAAGAATCAGGTTTTCATTCCTATATCCACATTGATAGGTATTGATATTTGTTGTCTATTTACTTTTCAAGTAGATATGTCAAGATTAGAGGAAATACATTATGGGGACTTAGTTCACGACTTACAGATCCAATTGAAGAATATGTGTGATATGCGCAGAGGATCGTTGAAAGACAATAGAAATTGTGTTGAATTTACAAGACAAATTTATATACGCTCGTAAGCCATGATCGAGGTCCTTCATTTTATATATATATATATATATATTTTTTTTTTAATTTTAATAATTTTATTAATCATTATGCAAACCCGTTTACAAATCCTAACTAACCCGGGCCAGGATAGTTAGTATAACAAAAAAATAGAGTAACATATATTTAGTTAAAGCATTTCTACAAATGTCACCATCTTATTTTTATACATGTGAGTTTTTGTTGAATTCAGTAGAATGTTCATATTGTTTATAATATTTGTTTTTACATAGGAATATAACAAATCTTCTGTTTCAGTTTTGTTCTGAACTCTACAAAACATTTTAAATTTTTATATCTTGTATGCTAAAAAAGAAACAAAAGTATTTAAAAATTGTATTTTGGAATTCCGTTCAAAATAAAAACCTAGGACGACATGTTTCCACTGTACATCAAAATTTAACACAGAACTCAGATTTTTCCATAGTATATGAACATGATCACAATCAAAAAGTAAATGTTTAATATCTTCAATTTCATCACACATATTACATAAAGCAGAAGTTCTATATTTGCATTTAAAAAGAAAACTGTTACAACACAATATATTATTCAACAATTTATAGTTAAATTCACATATTCTTTTGTCATAGATGTCTTTAACCTTATTTCTATATATATCCTTCCAACTCTCTTGAGCAACAGAAAATAATTTTTTATACATTAATTGATGGCTTGGGGCTTTAAATTTCTTACAGAGTAAATTATCGTAAAAAAATTTACATTTTTTATCTTCAATACAATATACACCATTTACAAAATCAAAATAACGCTCCCCTATATTCTGTATGTATGCACAGCAAGTCATATTGAATCTTAAAGATTTTTTATAGATCGCTGTTTTTAATATTTTGTATTCACACATCCAATTTGATTTTTGTTTTAAATCATCGGACAATTCTTGTAGAGTTTTAAATTTTCCATTTTTATTAAAAAGGTCTTTAACATGTGTTATCCCACTTTTGATCCAATTTTTAAAACATAGTGTTTTGTTTTCATATTTAAACATATTATTATTCCATATTGGTTGCTGAGCAAAACTTACATTAGACAATTTAGTTTCATCGATGTATCTTTTACAATCATTAAAACTGCAAAATACTTCTTTATAAAAAACCGACATGTTTGAAATGATTTTAAAGTCTGAGGATTTTGTCTCCGATAATGATAATAGATAGTTGATATCAATATTAAGACTATTTAAATATCCTCTTATTATTTCGCCTATTATACACTTTTTATCTATCAAGTATCTAGCCCATGCCGCCTTTAAGGCCTTGAATTTCAATTCAATATCTATCACACCTATACCTCCATCTTCTTGTTTTCCGATCACAGTATCTCTTTTAATTCTATCGCGCTTATTCCATATGAAGTTAAATATGCTTCTCTTAATTTGTCGAATATGTTCGGGAT